TGCCTTAATGTTGTCAGACTACGCGAAGGATATTGCTGATAAATTTCAGCTGACAATTGGAGGAGTAAGAAAACTGGTAAACTCCCTAGGTCCCAGGAAAAACTACGTCTTACACGCCCGCAACCTGAAACTCTACACAGAACTCGGAATGAAACTTACAAAGATCCATAGAGCCGTCTCATTCAAACAGTCCCCTTGGCTTAAGAACTATATCGACTTCAATACGAAGAAACGGTCAGTTGCACGTAATACTTTTGAAAAGAACTTCTTCAAATTAATGAACAACTCAATCTATGGAAAGACCATGGAGAATCTAAGGAAGAGAGTTGACGTGAAATTAGTGTCATCAGAAAATGACCTCCTAAAACTTACAGCGTCGCCGTGCTTCCAGTCGCATAGAATTATGAATGAGAACTTAATAGTTGTAAAGCGAACGAAGGAAGTTCTAACTCTAAACAAACCGTGCTACGTTGGAATGAGCATCTTAGACTTATCAAAGACTCTTATGTACGACTTCCATTACAATACAATTAAGAAGGAGTACGGTGACAGGTCAAAGCTATTGTTCACAGATACTGACAGTCTGATGTACGAAATAAAGACTGATGATGTGTATGAGGACTTCAGGAGGATCGGTGAGGGGAAAGACTGCTGGAATAACTCAGACTATCCAAAAGATTCCCCATACTACTCAGCTCATAATAAGAAGGTGATTGGTAAGTTTAAGGATGAAGCTGCGGGAGTACCAGTGACCGAATTCGTTGGGTTAAGGTCGAAGATGTACTCCTACATGAAGGAAAGTGGTGGAGGTGGAATGACCGCGAAAGGAGTGAAAAAGTATGTGATCAGAAACAAACTCACTCACGAAAACTTCAAGAACGTAATTAAGACAAGAGGTCGGATGAGACATAAGATGAACACAATCAGAAGCATCAAACATAAAATCGGAACTTACGAACTGAAGAAAATCACACTTAGTTGTTTCGATGATAAAAGGTACTTACTTGAAGATGGTGTTACAAGTTACGCGTACGGACACCATTTAATAGAAAAATAAATTGTTAAATAATTCTGATAAATAATAGATAAAAAATAAGGTAAAAAAGACCACGGAAAAATGGCCTAGAAAAAATGGTCTAGAAAAAATGAGCCCGCGTTCTTTGGGGAAAATTTGGGAAACCGCTGACCGGAAGTGGGGTGGGATGGCGGGCCAAAAAAGTGGTCTTGAACCCTCAGTTCCTATACTACTTTGGATCCGAGCTCCATTGGCCAAGTTCCGCAGGCTCGAACACGAGATCCATAGGCTAGGACACGAGCTCCATAGGCTCAGAGCCGAGCTCCATAGGTCAGGACACGAGCTCCATATACTCGAACACAAGATCCATAGGCTAGGACACGAGCTCCATAGGCTCGAAGCCGAGCTCCACAGGCGCGGAGCCGAGCTCCACAGGCTCGGGGCCGAGCTCCACAGGGTCGGAGTCAAGCTGCACAGACTCTATAACAAACGTACTTGCAGGTTCGGTGAGTCCGGCATTGGACGCATCTCGGGTGGCTGGACGTTTTCCGAACTTCACCGAGCGAAGCGAGGTTTTTGTTTTGGATTTTATCCCATACAACGAGCCATACACACATTTGTAGCTCTTCGCGATATATTCGTCGATGTTTTGTGAACATTCTCCCGGCCAAAAAAATCACTGGGCAAGAATATACTTCTTTATCTACGTCTACATTACCTTTACTGCATTTTTTCTTTGGTTTTTCTTCAGTCTCAGTATGTTAGTCACCGAAAAAAGTTCTTTAAAGTTTAAGTTTATCGGCTGAATCTTGTGCGCCATATTTGTTATCGTTATTGCAACGTAAGCAGTTTAGCGGGTGAGTTCGGTCGAAAAGCAGTTGAGTTCGGCAAAAGCAGGTGAGCTCGACGACAAGCCCACCTGCTCTAAACCAATCAGAAAGCCGATTTTAACACAGGTATGGGATAAGGGGCCGAGCTCCACAGACTCGGGGCCGAGCTCCACAGACTCGGGCCCGAACTCCACAGACTCGGGGCCGAGCTCTATAGGCTCGGTGCCGAGCTCATAGGCTCCGAGCGGAGCTCCCTAGGCTCCGAGCGGAGCTCCCTAGGCCGGAGCCAGCTCCATAGGCTCCGAGCCGAGCTCCATAGGTTATGATTCAGAGATTGAATGAATCAATCTATGATTCATAGATTTCATCTATTATTCAATGACTCAATCTTAGGATTCAATGATTCAATCTTATGATTCAATGATCCAATTATTCATTTTTAGGATTCAATGATTTAATATATGTTTCAATGATGCAATCTTTGGATTCATTGATTCAATCTAGGATTCTTGCCTCAAAATTCCGTCTGTTTCATCTGTAAAGAATCATCAGGTGGTATGACAAGTTTTGACATATGACAAGCTTCGACTGTATAAAACTTGCCATACCGCCTGGCATTCTTTACAGATGAAACAGACTGTTGCGGAATTTTGAGGTAAGAATCCTAGATTGAATCCTAAGGTTTCATTATTGAATCATATATTCAATCATTGAATGCTAAGTTTGAATAATTGAATCATTGAATCATAAATTAAATCATTAATCCTAAGATTGAATCGTTGAATCATAGATTGAATCGTTGAATCATAAGATTGAATCATTGAACCCTAATATTGAATCATTCAATCCTAAGGGCGAACATCTGGAGGCAATCACAGTCGAAATCTCTAAGCCAAAATCTAAACCATTCTTAATTAATGCCTGGTATAGACCACCAGATACCCATTGGATAAATTTGAAAATTTTTAAGATTGTTTAAGAAAAATGGACGCGGAAAATAAAAAAATCATCCTTACTGGAGATAACAACTGTAATTCGGACCTTAACTACAATAACAGAAGTGCGCAAACCCGTAAAATAAAGGATCTTGCGACCAGATACCGACTTGAGCAATTAATAAAAGAACACAATAGAATTACAGATAATACCGCTACTTTGCTTGATTTAGCGTTCACTAATAAACCTGAAAATATTGTTAGAGCAGAAATAGAACATGTAGGAATCAGCGACCATATTCTTATTTATATACAAAGAAAAATATCGTAAACAACCAAAAATAATAAATACAAGGAAATATAAGAATTATAAAGTGGATGCATTTAAATATGATTTAAGTAGGGTACTGCAAACGCTATCAAATAGTGAAGATCCAAATGTTGTTTGAAATGATTGGAAGGTAAGGTTCTTAGCGGTTGCAGACATGCATGCACCCCAGATTACCGTAAAGTAAAACATGAACATATACCCTGGATTACTCCTAGAATAAAAGACAGAATACATAGTAGAGTTTTTCTAAAAAAACAGGCGGTAAAATTTGGGTCTTAGTGTGCGCATGAAGCCTACAAAAAAGCTAGAAATGAAGCTGTTAAAATAGTTAAAAATGCGAAAGCAAATTATTGTATGCAGGCATTTAGTAATTGCAAGGCAAATCCAAAGAAAATGTGGAAAAAGTTAATGAGTTAACTAATAGGAATGTAAAATTCACCAATACAAATGAAATTTCAGACGACGGGAATATAGTAACTGAGCCAACAGAAATTGCAAATATTTTCAACAATTTTTTTACAGACATAGGACCCAAATTAGCAAAAGATCTGCCGGAACATAACCAGATACCAGAATCGTATGTAAAACCTTTCAACACCATTGTCCGGTTTCAGGCGGCAACTGAAACAGATGTTTCCAAACTGCTATATACTATTAAACAACTAAAGCTGCAGGACATGGCAGAATCTCGGCTAAACTATTGAAAGATTCTGCTGACGTAATTGCTAAGTAATTAACGACAATATTCAATAAGTCAATATTATCGGGAAGTTTTCCGGATGATATGAAAATAGCAATTGTTACCCCTATTTATAAATCGGATTGTAAAAATAAACCCACAAATTATAGACCTGTGTCTGTATTGTCTGCGTTTGCTAAGATTTTTGAAAAACTTATATCTCATCAGCTTTTAAATTATTTGGAAAGTATTAAAATATTAGTAAACCAACAATCAGGTTTTAGAAAGAAGCATTCAACAGAAACTTCATTACTATCTGTTACGAATGAATGGTATTTAAATATGAACAAAGGGTACCTAAATGGAGTTGTTTTTCTTGACCTAAAAAAAAGCATTTGATTGCGTAGATCACATTATCCTACTAAAAAAATTAGAACTTTATGGCATAAAAAGGATTGATTTAAATTGGCTTAAATCATACTTGTCAAATAGAATCCAAAGGTGTAAGATTGGACAAACCATTTCGCAGCCGCAAAAGATTCGTAGTGGAGTACCCCAGGGGTCTAACTTGGATCCTCTGCTATCCCTTCTTTATATTAACGATTTGCCAACGATTTTAAATTATACTAAAGCGAATATGTTTGCCGACGACACAAATCTAACCACTGCAAGTTTAAATAAAGAAGAACTACAACGGCGATTAAATTTTGACCTAGAGCTTATGCACAACTGATTTTGGCCAATAAATTGACATTAAATAAAGATAAAACAGAATATATACTAATTGGTTCACACTAAAGGTTGTCGACTGTTATTGACGAACTTGTTTGAAATTAAAAAGAACATTAATTATAATTTACGTAGCAACGGAAATGAGTTTACTCTACAAAAGCCTAAAACAAATTTTATGAAAAAAAGCATCAGCTATAATGGTGCTAAAACATGGAATAATTTACCAAGAAGTGCAAAAAACAAGTGATGCCACAATTAGGCAATTTAAGACTGCGCTTGATCGTATTAAACATTGATCGTATTAAACATTAAATGTAAATGTATCTAAGGCCAGTCAATTTTGCATGGTTTTAAATTTTTTATAACTAGTAATAGGTGTTTAGTTATCATATATTGAATCATTAAATCCTAAGATTGGATAATTGAATCATAGATTAAATCTTTGAATCATAGATTGAATCATTGGCTCCGAGCCTAGGGAACTCCGCTCGAAGCCTAGGGATCTCCGCTTAGAGCCTATGGAGCTCCGTTTGGAGCCTATGGAGCTCGGCTCTGAGCCTTTGGAGCTCGTGTGCGAGCCTATGGAGCTCGGCTCTGAGCCTATGGAGCTTATGTCCGAGCCTATGGAGCTCGTGTCCGATTCTGTGGAGCTCGGCTCCGAGCTAGAGGAGCTCGGATCCTAACTATTTAAAAATACCCCGAGCCTATGAAACTCGGCTCCGAGCCAGTCTTCAAGCTGTTAAAACTAGGTTCTCACGTATGCCGGCAATGCCGTGCGCCTTATTTTATCATCTACACTAACGTATTAAAAAACTCGTTAACAATTCATGAAAAAAACACAAAGAAAAATCATAAGCGTGTCGTATCTCTATATGTGAGACAGATTCATGTTGATTTACATAAACTTTAACTTTGATTTTCTCGGACAACGTTTGTTTTTAAAATTACTTCGCCTAGGAACTCATCAGATGAGTCATTTTTTAAGTCATTTACAACATGCGCGTCCGTGTTGTATCGGATATATATACAAACTCTCGCCTTCGGCTCGAGTTTGTATATCCGATACAACACGGTCGCTCACCTTGTAAATAGTACAATATACACCACATGGCCGATTTTAGGGTAATAAATAATCCATATCTAACCGTAATAAACACTTAAGTGATCAATCGATTAATCCATTAATTAATGACTGTTAATGACCTTGTTAGAGACTCACAAACGACGAAATTTCGTCATATCTTGCACATAATCTCCAATAACTCTCTGTTCATTAGTATTTCTTCTGTCTGAGGCTGACTGGGTGAAATAAAAAAAAATTGTATATATCCACACGGGGTGTGCGGGTTAATCTTTTTAATGACTTTTAATATGCAAATATGGACCATAACAACGGAGTTGACAACAATTTTAACTTAGCCTTAGCAACTGCTTAGTTATATTTAAAAATTTCATGTGTATGTCTGGATTTTTATTATTCCTTGTTTAATAGTCCTAAACGTTGTGAATACATCCCCAGGGAAAAACAAGGATGGTGTTAAACTAGCGGACACTCCAAGATAATCTGATAAAACCTTGTAAAACGGTGAATTCAAATACACCTTTTATACTCTATTTCTATTGTCGTTTATGATTTTGGGGAATATAATTTTGAATAAACTGGGATATTCTCTGCAGAATTCCCCCGGAATCTTTGCAATCTCCGATAAGTCAGGAATTTTTGTAGTACACAATTCTCACTGCTCATGCGTAAAAGTAGAATATCTATGTACCACAAGCATTACAACAACTTTAGTAGAATATCTATCGAGAACGTGTTAAAATTCACTCAATCGCTCAGTTTGTTAAAGTTCACTCAATTACTCAATCACTCAGTTTGCTAGAATGATATAGGTAAAAATGTTCTTAAAATGCTAGTAATCATTGGCCCACACTCTTTTAATACCATTACAAGCTTACAGGCGATACAATAAAAATACATATCTTGATGACGTAATGGGTGGTCAGATGATCCACCAGGTCCAGAACCCCCAAAATAATGACGTCGTGGTCGAGGCAAAGCTCTGCGCCTGCCGCAGTACCCTCACTCTCTATACTACTCTATACTATAAATAGACCGTTATAAACTGTCAGCATTTCCTAACTTAGAATACTGTTGTTTGTTGAAACATGCACCACGTAAATTCATTATTTACGTGGTGTTTCCACAAACAATAGTTTTATATGTTTATCGCCATGCAAACATACAAAGAACTTATTTCTTAAAATATTTACAGTAATAATAGCTGTGAAGAAAACATATGTCAATTGCTTGAACAACACATAATTTTTAGAACCACAAGCAATTTAAATGCTCGAATAACTGGTATATAGCTAAAACGCGAAAAAACGTCTGCGCACGCGCGAGCACAAAAAAATGGCGAGAAATTTAAATGCTCCATTGTAAACAAAAATAGGTCTATTTAATGATTTAAGGTCATTGAAACAAACAAAAAATAAACTAGACGGCTAGTTTAGACATGAATAAAAAGTTTTTAACATTTAATGATCTAAAATCGAAAACGGAAGAAAATTAAAATTTACCGTTTAGGATGGGAAGGCGGAACATTTAAGCATTTGCGCACGATTAAATTATTCAAATCTTTTTAAATGATACTGCTACGCAAAAAAATGTTATTGAGAAAATCTTTGTATGGTTAAAGAACGTTTTATACAAGACTGAATTGATCAGTCATCTTTGCCTTATTTTCTTCCATAATACTACTTCTTGCACAATTATTTCTAGTTTTTTGGTTGTCACATTTGATATTTCACTAGCATTTTCACAGAAAAGACAAAACATCGAAGTCGCTTCCATTTTGAGTTTTTGACAAACTTCGGAACACTTGACACCAGTCCCGCGTTCGCAATACAGATTTCAGTCATAGATATCTTATATACACTAAATACCGCATCTCTTTTAGTAAAATTGAAGCCAAGAATATTCCAGCGGTTACCCCCATTTGAATAGATGGCGGTCATGTTGGTCGTTCCCACTTGCCAATAAACGCTTAAAAACAACAATAACTTTCATCATTTGAATAGTTTAAAAATGTATTTCGTATAGGGTTATCTTAATGTTTAATTTCCCTTTTTAAGAAATTGAAAATAAACGAATCTTCTCATTTCATGGGAACGACCTGAGACTGCAATCACGGCTTCAATTTTTGAATTGCAGAATAATTAGATGCACTATCTAGTGTATATAAGATATCTATGATTTCAGTATGTTGACGCAGAACAACGATTTAATTAATGTTTAATAACTTTTTATACAATTTCCTACTGTGGAAAAAGTGCGATTTCGACTGGCATTTTTAAATGGGATCTTTAAAGTGCCTATAAACCCAAAATGGGTTTTTGATGATTCGGATAGAGCGTAAAAAGTTACAATAGAAGTTCTAGATTAGATTTTGATTTAAACTTCTAGTTTCTGAGATACAACGGCTCAAACACTCAAATTTTGCCATTTTTGAAAAAAAAGTCGCGCAAGTCAAATTCACTGCAAAAGCCTGGGTCGGAGGAACACGTTCTTCGCGTTCAGTTGCTTTTCTATAATACAAGTAGACGCAACTTCGAGAGTTTTTGCCTTAAAATGCCTAAACGGTGTGTCGTTTACGGTTGTTCCAACGTTGCTGACACAAAGAAGGGTATTTCTATCTACCAATACCTTTTTGGAATACTTCCTTGTAGCGGTCAGGAGAAGGAAAAAATGGCTGAGCCTTTGTTCGACACAGAGTCGCAGACGAGACAAATGGATCCAATTAGTGTGCTCAAAGCATTTCATTGAGGAGTGTTTTGTATACGGTTCTGAAAGTGTGGAAAAGAAAAACACTCCGAGACTACAGTACATAAAAATCAACTTTCTGGCAGTGTGAAATCAGAGCGCACGAGTCGCATGAAGCGAAGGAAGGTACTGTAAGCTAATAATACTTTGTTTATTCACCAGAACTCGCATCATTAGCGCGTTTATTTACATTTATTATACATTGTAGTTGGTAAAAGCAATTTGATTGGCTAAGAGCTAACAGTTAAATCGCGCAATCACGCAACCTACACAAAATTCAGTTATCTGCTAGCAGATAACTCAGTTATCTGCTAGCAGATAACTGAATTTTGTGTTAGGTTGCGTGAAATTTAATGAGTGTACATTTCAAATGAGTGTACATTTCAATTTTCAAATGAATGTACATTTCATAATTGTAATGTTTACTTTAACAAGTAAATATTTTAATACGTTAACATCTTAACGATAATATGTTTCTTTTATATTTGTAATTAATTTAACTGTTGGACTTCCGGTGACTTGTTTATAGAAACGTTTTACTTGAACAGCTTTGCCAGAAATCATACTGAATATAACGTTTACCGAGACCTTGATAATTTTGCATATCGCAAAAACCGAATTCAATAATTGTTTTATTATTTAAAATACTATGTTTATTATTCTTCAAATGTATAATAAAACAATTATTGAATTCGGTTTTTGCGATATGCAAAATTATCAAGGTCTCGGTAAGCGTTATCAGCCTCGCCTTCGGCTCGGCTGATAACGCTTACCTCGACCTTGATAATTCCGCATATCACAAAAACCTCATCCAATAATTGTTAAATATTTGATTAGTGAATCAAAGCTTTTCCTGTTATAAACTTATATTAAGGTATTTGTATAAAGTTTAAACGTTCTTATGTCGTGTAAATAGAGTCGGTCGAGAACAATAGAACTGCATGTCCTTAATATGGCTCATGTCGTGTATCACAACACATGGGCCAACGAAATTTATTATTAAATACCCTTTTATTATACCCTGTGACTATTTGACCGGCAGCCAGTCACGTTTCAAAATGTACTAAATGACCGGCAGTCTGGTATTTAGAGTTAAAGTCATGTTTAAAACACGGGCTCGATCATTGTAAACAACACAATTTATAATGCCAGTCATTTAGACATTTTGAAACATGACCGGCTGCTGGTCAAATAGTCACTCTGTTTATTATAAGACTAATCTTGTGGTTTCAACTTTATACGACAACAGGAACTTGTCGAAAACCCTGAAAAAGCACTGACAACATCAACTGCTGATGAGCCAGATGTTGAACCTTGCACATCTACAGAACAAGGAGAAATGGTACGGTTGTTGGTGTGGTCTCATTTTTATACACCGGGGGATTTGAACTTTTGAAAATTTGATTGTTCAAATTCCCCACCCCCTGGCAAAAAGTGTGTTCAAATACCAAACTAAAACAAAAAAATTAATGGGAAAATTCCCTGTGCCAAGGAAATATTTATGAAACTGTCAAATGAATACAGAACACTGTTTTTAATGTATACGACATTCATAGATGTTAGATTTCGATTTCCGCCATCTTGTCTTAAGTTAACTTTTCAGACCGAATGACTGAAGTTCTTGCTCCAGATAGAGCTGACTGACAAAAACGTGCAAATTGTGATTTAGATTTAAATTCCCCACCACAAAGATTCAGAATGTCAAATTCCCCTACTCCAAGGAGCCACCTTAAAGTCGAATGCCCGGGGTATACCGGGAGGGGGGCATTGTTTCAAATTGATTGTACATACATTAGACAATAAAACTAGCCAGTACTGTAATTATAGTTAATGTTGACAATATTTTATAATTTCAGTCCCTGCTGTTACAGTCAGTAGCAAGAAAAAAGCATCCAAACCAAGAAATCCACCAAAGTGAAGTGTATGCAAGCAGCCAATGAAAGGCCACAAAATTGTGACTAATTGTCCATGGAACAACAAGGCCTAACAATATTTTACATAAATATTTAACATTCAAATAAACTTATAAGTTTTCATCGTCTGTTTCCAAGTCATCATAACCTTCAAATTCATCACCATTCTTGTTGTTATGTGTCAAATGTATTGCAGTATATGCACAAGCGGGCAGTGGTATACGTCTGTCCTTTAATTTGCCGTGAATCATGCGGGTAAACTGCCTATATGCAACAACTCGAAGAAATCTACAATATAATAAAAAGAATATTTCTTGGTTCAATTATAGAACTATTGTAGAAATCTGGTGGACAACATGCAGCAATGCGCGTAACCCATTTACTGGCAGTGGGTAAAATCGTCTGGCGTTGGACAGAGTAAATAGTAAAGTAGGGCACATCTGAGTGCATTGCCAGTACTGGCAGTACCTTATACCACTGATGAGTAAAATCATCTGCAGACTAAATAATAAAGTAGGTTGCATTGCAAGTTAATGAGTTAATTTGAAAACAACAACTTTGTTCAACAAGCAGCTGCACAATGCATCGGTCAAATCCAAGCATGTCCATCCTCCACCCCGGGGTATTTGCCTTTGCGGCATGTGCCAGCGGAGGGTCATTTGCATGCAAACCTTTGCCCGGGGGTGAGGCATTTAAAATTAATATTATATTTTCTAAAGATTACTAATAATCTAAAACAACACAATCACATCAGTTTATGAAAATGTATGATGTCAATATTTTGTGTTAAACAGTGTCCCAAATAATGTCCCTAATTATTGTTTGTAGTACTGGTAACATAAAAGCTATGGTAGCAATACCCCAAAGTGCTTGGGCATTTTGGGAAACACCCGGTCACGATTGGAGATTGCAGCCTCAATTTCATTCATGTGACAAACTCCATATTTTTGCCTTAATGTCAGTATATTTGTCAAACAAGTAGTTGAACGTGATGCCTTGTAAAAATGCTAGATGGTATTCAATAATCGTACCTGCCTGGATTTGACTTATACAAATGCTCTAAAATTTATTGTACCTTTCCTTTGGACCAAGTTGACTGTAACGATGACCATCACGAGTTTTAAACATTTCTGCCGCAAGATCCAACGACCATCTGTTTAGGCACACTGCTGAAAAACCAGGGTGATCTGTTTATACACAAATTACTTCTTTGTCAACTGACCCAGGATAGCCCAAATCATCAACAAATTCGACACATTTTTCTGCAACAATAGCATTCTTTAGCATTTCAGTGTTGCAGTTTCCACACCTGCACCTAAATGACAGTAAACTAATTTATACAATATGTAAATATCCGGAGCCAAACATGTCAACATATAACTATAAACAAAATCGCCAAGCATTAATATTGACCAAGTTTAGGTGTTGAATATTACAATGACGTTGCAGATTTATTCCCTTTAAAACGCACCTCTAAATCTCTCATCCTTTCATTGTCTTCCTCTCACTTTCGTATTCTTCTAGCCAAGCTTCATCAGCAATCAGTTCATCCAAGAAGCCTTTCCTTCGTCTGAATTGCCATCCACATGGCCGCCATGACTGGCTTCAAAATATTCGGTTTTAACGCGCTCAACTTCAATTTCACACGGACTACTAACAGACGAATTGCTAAAGATACTCGAGTGTGAATTTGAGCTCGACATTTCAGGTTTTTCACAAAAATATAGTCGTTTTTTTTCACTTGCCTACCCAAATTGTAATACAATTTCCTATTGTGAAATTAATACAACGTGTTCGGTGTTCCTCCGACCCAGTCTCCTCTGCGCGCTACTTTTTTTTCAAAATTGGCACTTTGAGCCGTTATATCTCAGAAACTAGAAGTTTAAACCAAAATCTAATCTAGAACTTCTATTGTAACTTTTTACGCTCTATCCGAATCATGCAAAACCCATTTTGGGTTTATAGGCACTTTAAATATAACTTATCTGTCTTAATACACACGAACGTCTACACGTATTCACCGTCTCTACCCATCACAGTTCTTCCTCTTCCTGATCATAAATTAGTTCAATGTTCTGCCTTGCATCGACAGCCGCTCTACGCTTCGGTTTGAACTCCTTTGCAACAGGATTCAATGGAACTGTTTCTTGATTACTTTCTCTATCACAATGCAATTCCAAAGGGTAAAGAAATTGTATTGGTCTTTCCATGAATGATTTTCCTGCACGTAGTCTAACTCCACGAACCACTCCGTCTCTTCCGGGTATAAGTTGTTCAACAATCCCAATTTTCCACAGTCTACGATTCTTTTCATCACCTTTGATTAACATAACATCACCCTTTCGTAGCTCTCTCTCTTTCCCGTCATGTGTTAAATTATGCCTTTCGCGAAGTGCTCTCATGTATTCTCGTTTCCATCGTTGCCATAACGCGTCCTTACATTTCTTCAAATATCTCGCCCTCTTTCGCAGGTCTCGTTCTTCTATATCCTCAGGTGATAACTCCATAAGATAATTGGCTTTACCGAAGATCATCATGTTCGGCGTCAACATGGGAAGTTGAATGTCATCCTCGCAGTACGATAGTGGTCGATTGTTCAATACGAGCTGGATATCTAGCATCACGTCTTGCAATTCTTTGAAGGTAAGTTTGGCCGATCCTACGACCTTGTAAAGAGCTTGTTTCACTATGCTGACCATTCGTTCGAACATTCCACCCCACCAGCTAGCTTTGCTTAGATTGAACTGCCATTTCACACCATGTTCACTCAAATAGCCTTGTAACTTTTCGTTCAGTACGACTTTCTTGATCCATTTGGCAGCAGCCACGAAAGTCTTTCCATTATCGGATATGATCTTCTTCGGACGACCTCTTGCTGCGATAAATCTTTTAAAACTCATCAGGAACTCTTCACAGCTCATGTTTGGCAGAATCTCCAAGTGAAGTCCTCTAGTTAAACTGAAGGTATAGATGAGTATATATGACTTACGCTCAGCTCCCCCATTTCCCTTGTAATAGATTGGTCCGGCATAATCGACACCAGTTACTTCGAAGGGGATTTCACCTTCAGTTCGTTCTTTTGGAAGATTCCCCTGAGGTGGAGCGGGCATCGGCGTTGTGTAAAATCGTTTACACCCATAGCATTTACCAATGACTTTCTTCACTAGACTTCGCAATGCAGGGATCCAATAATCGTCGCGTACTTTACTCATGGTTAACCCAACCCCGCCGTGCAGAGTGTAAAGATGTGCACGTTCGACAATCTTCAGAGATAGGAGGTGATTTGATGGCAAGTAAATTGGATAAAACCCTTGAATTCTCCCCTTACACACGTAAATGCCTTCTTCATTTTTTTGGAGATTCAATCGTTGAGAATGTTCTTTGAACTGAACAGAATTTTCACCGTCCTCTTGAGCTCGTTTAATCAGAAATTTCAATTGTTCCTCAGTCTCTTCAGTCGTTAGTAGTCCGCTAATTCTTTTACTTCTTCGACAATTGACAGCAAATCTTTTGATCCATGCCAAAATCCGCACAGTTTTCCATAGGGTTGTTTTCGCTAAAAGGTCGTCAAAGACATCTGATTTTCGTTGAACAGCAGCTTTCATCACGGTCTTGATTGTGCGACTTTCGGACTCCGACACATCAGAAGGTTTAGCAACAATCTGTTCCGGCCAGCTGTCGGAATTGTTCAGCCATGAAGGACCGCTCATCCACATTTCGTTAGTTTCTAAGTCACTTGATCCCCGACTACCGATATCCGCAGGATTCTCTTTACTAGGCACGTATTTCCAAACGATTTCTTCCTTCTCGTTTATTTTCTCTACCCGATTGGCCACGAATTGTTTATATCTTCCTGACCTTGGATCCATTGAAGACAGACAGTAGAATCAGACCATGCGAATACACCGGCAATTTGTATATGACTAAGAACTTTGAATGTGTTGTGTAGGAGGTTACTTAGCATGTGGCAACTCACTAACTCCAGGCGCGGAATAGTCAAGTCCCGTTTGGCCAATCTTGTTTTCGAAATCAGGAACCCTTGACTAATCACTCCAGCTTGCTTGATAATAGCGTAGATCACAGCGCAACAACCAAGAAGGCTCGCATCCGCGAATCCATGAAGAATCAATTCGACAATCACACCGATTTCTCTAGGTATTGCTCTTGGCATCTTCAACTGGACAGGTAAATTCTTCAACCATTTCTCCCATCGCCGCTTTAGCTCGTCAGGTAGATCTGCATCCCATCCCAACTCAGAATCACATATATCTCGAAAGATCACTTTGGCCGTGAGTAGAATAGGAGCTGCTAATCCCAGCGGATCATAGATTTTCGCCATAGTTCTCAGGACGATTCTTTTCGTAACTTCATTTTCGTTTGGTGGAAATGTCACTGACAAAGTGTCTTCTGATTTGTTCCAGCCTAATCCAAGAAGTTTAGTCTCCGATGGTGTTGTCCCTAGACTTTCCTTCGCATAGGTAGTTTCTCCATCTTCCTTTACATCACTTTCTAATTCTGCGGCGTTCGAATGCCATTTATGTAACATGAACCCACCTTCTCCCAGGATTTTTACTGCATCTTCTTTAATTTCTCTCGTTTCGTCCACTGTGTCGCTTGCAATGTTTATATCGTCCACGTATGTACCATCTTTAAGCTCTCGAACACAAATCGGATGATCTTGTGAGTACTTCTCTAGGTGAACGTTCAATGTCCCTCCAAGAATGAATGGACTTGGACCCAGACCAAACATAAGTCTTGTCATGCGGTAGATCTTCTCTTCTCTGGTGTGCAAGTTATTTATCCACAGGAACCTTAAAGCGTCACGTTCGGTTTCCCTGATAACGATCTGAAGAAACGCTTGCTTTATATCTCCAGCTAATAGCACAGGTTTAACTCGGTTTCGCAAAAGAATATCTAACAACTTTCGTTGAAGTGGAGGGCCAATCTCTAGACAGTCATTCAGAGACGGACTATCTTCGTTAACCTTTGCGGAGGCGTCGTAGACGATACGAACTTTTGTTGATTCAGCTTGTTCCCGAACGACAGGTTTATGTGGGATGTAATGTTCGTGCTTCTCGTTTGGTTCTGTTGGTGCAATCTCTACAATTCCCTGTTCCACTTGGTCTTCGATGATTTGATGGTATGTCTCAAGTAAGGCAGGTTGTTTATCCAGTCGCTTCAGTAGTGACTGAAATCTCGGTCGCGCAACGTTGATGTTGGTTGGTAATTTGGGATGGCTAGCTTTCCATGGTAGTGCTGTCTCGTATTTTCCATCTTCTCTCCAAATTAACTGTTCTTTGAACTCCTCAAGCACGGTTGTTTGATCACCTTCAGGTCGATCCTCGAGCCCCAGGACATCTAAACTACAAAGTTCCATGTAGTCTTCGTGTGTGCTTCTCGTTAACATTAAATATGAGTGATTCATTTCCCGTCCCTGCGACATGATTGTCCACCCGAGTCTCGTTCTCTCTGCCACTGGTTTTCCATCATCTCCAACTTTAGCAGGTGTGGTTGTTTTGACTCGTGAATAATCACTAGCACCCAGTATTATGTGAACTGGCAACATTGGCTTCGTGTCAACATCGTCCATCTCTATGCCTTCAAGGTGTGAATTACTGGCAATAACTTCTCTATAACGTGGATTTTGCAAGGTCAGTAGCACTGGTCGATCAACACAATTCACTTCAGACGACATGCTAAAGTTTTTATTAATGTTTGTGATTTCAACATTGTAAACATTAATCGTCTTCGTAGTTGTATGTAGACTTTCCAAAGTCCGCGGTTCGTGGTTCCTGGAAGCTACGGACTTTTGTCACCCGCAAGCGCGCCAAAATCACCGGTGCATTTTTGCTCCGGTGACGTCAGTGAATGCTCATTATTATTCTGTACTAACGACGCCATTTTGTAAAATTTATATTTAATATAAACCATTGATAAACAGACTCGCCATCCATTGTGAATATATGGAAAGTCG